AAAAACATTTAGATTTAAATTTAAATTTAAAAAAAAAAGTTGTAACTTGAATTGGGCGACAGACCGTTTCTGCTCAGAATCTTTTTTTCATATACGATAGTATATCTGTATATCATTGAATTCGAATTTAACACATTCTACTCAAAACCTACCTACTGAATATCAGTACCTATATCAGAGTGGTATCCACTTGCCCAGATTTTTAGTATTTTGCACAATAATTTCCCCGTGACCCAGCACGATTCAATAAAATATCCAAGTAAGAGTTCGGGAGTAATAGGTACTATAATCATGCATACTATACAAATTACAAAACAAATGTGAAGGTAACTGTTGATAACTGAGAAGTGTATTTTATACAATTTTATAGATCACCAAATACTAACTACCTCGAAAATTCTGTATATACGGAACTTCCATTTAACAATTTTCCGTTAAATGAAACATTTTTGAAAACCAAACCAAATGTATTAAAGGTTACCAAATGTAAATCCTCTGCTACACGAATGCCTAATATCGGAACACGTACCATTGTTGTTTGCGCGAAATCGTTGACAGAATATTATAGTAGGTATTTTATCGTCCGTGTCATATTCCACGCATGAAGTTATCAGTAATGGTAATTACCAACATAATTATTATGTTATCTGTACGGACATCGCACCCCGGACACACGTCGTCCATATGTTATTTCGGTACACCACGAAGAACAAAAAACAAAGAACAAAATTATTATTACTTATCTGGCATAGTGGCATGTCGTATTAATATGTGCTAAATTAGTTGTGTCGATCATACAACGCACAATACGTCAGAACACATACCATTATTATCAAAGGTGGGCATTAATACTAGTTGAAAAGTTAAAGTTCAGTTAAAAAGTTAATTTTTTTTAAACTTTTTAACCTAACTAGTTAGTTTATTTTCTAATCCACTTATGAACTTAAATAGTTTAATTTACAATTGAAATAACTTAGCTTAATTTCTCAGTTGATTTAAAAAAATCCATTAAATTAAAACATTTTGAAATTGTTATTTTATACTTAAATATTACGAATTTCGAACGCTCATAAAAATTTAATTTGACTTTCTTATGGACATTTTTTTTTGATAAAGGTAGATAATCTTATAAGGAATCTTGTATTACATTTTCAAATCTTAGATTTAAAAGAAAAATTTTTACGAATTCTTAACTCAAAATAATTTGCTAATTTTCGTGATTTTTCCATATTTTGTCAATTTTTGAATTTTAAATGCTTATAAAAAAAAATTGTGACTAAGGATTTTTAATATTTTTCATTTGCCTTTGAAACAATATACTAATAGCCCTCTATTTAATTTTCAAGCTTTTTTCACCAACATATACAATTTTATTGATATTTTTAGAAAAAAAACTAAAAAAATATGGAAAATGAAAATGTTCCTTAACAGTTCAAATCAAATCATAATATTTTGAAAATTTTATCGTGTACAGAAAATGCTAATATAAACATTCAGTCAAAAACCAAAACCAAAATTATTTTTTTCGAAAACAGATTGTGTGTAAAAATTCCCGTTCTATTTTAATTTTTCTTTTGTTTTTCACGGCACTTTTGAAAACTACTAAAAAAATTATACTTTTGACTCCCCAAAGTACCAAAATTCCATTACATGGATAATTACGAACGTTTGGATGTATTTTATAAGGATTTCGCAAAATTTCTGGCAGGGTAGTCATACATAAGTACATAACGTCATAACACATTAACACACACACATATTACGTATATGTATATATTCATATTCACATCTAAGTTATTAAATTAATTTGGATGGGGTAACCTCGTTTAACTACATTTACGATAGTAATAAAGTATTTTATGATTGACTATCAATTATCATGGTAATAATAATGAATATTGAGGGGGGAAGTTCGCAGAGTAGTCAAGTGCCTACCATGACTACCCCGTGAGCACCACTGTGTGTATTATTTTATATTATACAATTGAGGTACTTACTACTACCTGAGTTCGCAGGTCTTTTGTGTCCAGCTAGACGCCGTTTTGTCCGCCGGACACTTTGAACAAATCCTCCGTTTAGGCTCGCCTTTTTTTGGCGTTCGCCCGGCAGACATTTTTTTGTCCTCTCGTTTGTTGAACCGCTTCGTGCATCGGCACCGGCTTCGGCTCTTTTCCGTGTCTTACGCCACGTCGTGGTCGTTCCCGTTTCCTCTAGTAATACTCGTTTTTACCTACAGCTTTTTCCACAGCGGTTATATCACCGGTATGCGCTGTATAAAATAATATTTGGTTTTTATTACTTTTTAATCATTTTTCCAACTAAGAATTTTTTTTATTTTATATTTTCTTCATTTTTTTCAAGTGAGATCTTTTTTTTTATTGTATTATATTAATTTTACTATATTTTAATATTTTATATAATTATAATAGGTATTATATTTTGTAACATGATCTAAAATAATTTTTCCAACTAGGGATTTTTTTTTTATTTTATATTTTTTTCATTTTTTTCAAGTGAGAGCTTTTTTTTATTATATTATATTAATTTTATTATATTTTATATAATTATAGGTAAGGTGAAGTGGGGTAAGTGCCTAACTGGGGTAAGTGCGTTTTCCAGTATTATGGTGGGAAAAATAAATTCTATCACTCATATCAATAATGAAAATTAATCTACAATATAGTGGGAGCTTAAATATCTAATTTGCAACACTGTACGTTTATTCGTTTCACAGATTTCTATATATTACTAGATAGCGAACTCCGGTCATGAATTGAAGCTTCAAGGTCGGTTGGCAATTGTATGGTATTTCATATGACAAATAAGATGATATTATGATTTATTTTATATCGTATTTTATTATTTTTAAACATTAAGTTTACAAAAAAAAAAAATATTTTATATAAGTCATTTTACATTTACTATTTTATTTGACCGTTAAAAAAAATATTATTCCTAATACATTTTGTATAATAAATGAAATGTTTTGCCAACCGAGAAAATGGCGGCCGTTCACAGCTGAGCTTCACTTGTAACAATGTACATTGTATAAGAG